TTTCTGGTGCTTGGAAGTTGGTCAGGAAGCCTAGAACAGAACAAGTCAGATCAAAGTGGCTGAAAGACAGTGTCAGGATGGGCTGAGAACTGGGGACACACACTACAGATTTCCCAGCAGAAGAGTTTATGGGATGGGGTTTTCTGCGAAGCAGAGTTCCAGTAGGAGACACTGAGAGCATAGTGTGGCACTTGGGAGAACCAAAAACTTGATGTAGGAAATAATTTGTAGCCATCTGGAGAAGAAAATAAAGGAGGATGGGGAAATGAGGCAAAACAGTATGGGTGGTCCATGGAGAGTGATGGAAAAAACTGATGGAGGCAAAACATTATAAAGAAGTATTATCTGAAGCATTTACTTCCACCTGAATTGGAAAAATGTCATATTTAGCAGAATAAGATTGCTGCTTGGCATGTTTGTGAAAGAAACACGGTGTGTAACCAGATTCAAGTGTTCCATTTCAAAACTGGAAGTATAAAGCACTATTTAAAATAAAATGGTATTGAGTGCAAAATGAAAGTCTGCAAATATCTATATTTCTTTTGCCATGCTTCTGCTTTAAAATTCTGACTCTGAAGCTGGTTTTACACCATGCCAGAAGGTCTCTATTTACATCCTGCTTCTGGGTTCTACACTGTGAACTTCTTTCTGGTTTTGAGACAACAATATTGATGGTTTTGATTATTATCTATGATAGCATATCAAATACATTTCTTACTCTACATAAATATATACATGATTACATATGTCACAGAATCAGAGAATGATTTGGGCTGCAAGGGACCCTAAAGAATCCTTCCAGGTGTGGGGCATCCACACCTTCAGTGGGCTGATCATGAGCCATCAGTGTTCCCAGGTGGCCCATGGTACCTGGCCTGTATCAGTCATGGTGTGGCCAGCAGGGCCAGGGCAGTGATCATCCCCTTGTACTCAGCATTGGTGAGGCCACACCTGGAATTCTGTGTTCATTTTGGGTTCCTCACTGCAAGACAGACATTGAGGGGCTGGAGTGAGTCCAGAGAAGGAGAAGAGAGCTGGTGAAGGGTCTGGAGCACAGGTGTGATGAGGAAGAGCTGAAGGAGCTGGGGGTGTTTATCCTGGAGAAAAGGAGGCTTAGGGGTGGTGTGTTTTCTCTTGGTAATACCTGCAAGGAGCTTGTGACAAGGTAGGGTTTTGGCCCTTGCCCCGGGCAAGGGAGGGACAAGGGGAAATGGCCTTCAATTGTGCATGGGGAGGTTCAGGCTGGATCTTAGGAGACATTTCTTCACAGCAAGAGTGGTTAAG